GCTAGGTAAAGCAGGGGAGAAGGAATAGAGATTGTGTGCAGTGGGTTGTAAGGTTGTGTGGGTGTTCTGTGTCAGGTGTTCAGTCTAGTCTGCAAGCATTTGCATATGAAAGTTGATGACAGAGCCCATGGTGAGTGTACTCTCTGAAGGAACACTCATTGCATTTTCTTAGGTGTTACATACTGTAGAATGTGGATTCATGGAAAATGTTCCATTTATGTTCCAAAAATGTTAGGTTATTTTTGAATTTATCAAGCCCAGCAAAGCACTGATCAAGTTTAACCCTTCCAGTATTTTTCTAGAAGAACTTTTTTTTGTTTTATTGTTGAAATATATTATTTTTTTAATGTGCTTTTCTAAATCTAGGCGCATAAATTTATTTATTTAAAAGTGTGAGGAACCTTTACTCCACATGGCAGTGCATTTAAAACCAATAATGGGACACACATCTTTACCCAGAAGGTTGTAGGAGTATGGAACAAGCTACTCCGCCATGCAGTTGAAACTGGTACCTTTTTTGCTTTCATGAAATGGCTGGATGAGATCAATGGATCTACTAGCTAATAACTACTAAACGGGTCTAGAAGGGTCAGATGTAACCTTTCTTGAGTTCTTAAACTCCAGGCAGTTTTTCTGATTTGTTTAAAGGTGATGGCCCGGAGTTCTGTACAGTATATGTTTTAAAACTCTTCTGGGACATGCATACTGTAGGTATTCACAAACTGACTGTAGGTCTCATACTGAGGTATTGCTCCAACAGTATTGTGAATTCCAATACACCAGAGGAAATGGAAGGAAATGCACAATAATAGACTAATATAATATAAATAAAACATACAGTAAACATTTAATCTGACACCTGATGATTAATGCCTTTATAATCTGCTCTACCTTTTGGTTTGTTTTATTACATTTTTAAAGCTTCACATCACACATATATACTAGTTTCAATGTACCTTGCCCTTGTTCACGTTTATCAAAGTTCCACAAAACCTTGTAAAACGATTTTCATGTATTAAATGTGAACTATAGTGAGGTATATGAAGGCTACCTCCATAGGAAGGACATCAGTCATTAAAAACTGTTTGTGTGGTTTAATATTACTGTTATTCCATTTTAAAATAATTGATTCTTTATAGCACAAAAATGCAATCAAAATGTCAATAGTTGATTCAGAGTTCTTTTGAACTCTTTCAAATCCTATTCAGTTAACACTTAGACCTTACTGAAAAAGTATAAATCTGGATGCAAATCTGGTTTAGTAATACTTTGTCTTTTGTAAAGCTGTTTACTTGAATCTAGGCTGAGTCTCCCAGAGAAATTTTAGAGGTCCATAAGGCAGATTTAACGCTTGAAACCGAAAGTAACTATTGAATTAAAGAAATAGAAAAAAGGTTGAAGCAATCGTTTGTTGTTTTAATTAAGGCTGAGTTCATACTGTAGCTGAGAACTATTAAGGAACAGGTGACCTTATAAACAGTGTCTATGCATGGAAGTTATGTCCACCTGAATCTTGGAAAAGTTTTAACTTATCCTTTTAATGTCACTGAATTTGGATTTTAACTCCAGAAATAAATAAAAAATGTCTTCAATGAGTTGGAACATCTGATTCATTGACTGCTTGAGTCTGTAGAACAGTAGTATCTGTTTGCTTAGTTCTTCTCCCTCTCCCCAGACTCCCTGCTCAGAACAGCTATACAGCACTGGGCATAATTTGCAAACTGTGATGTGCCAATTATCTCTGTTGCTTTCAAACAAATGATGTGTGATTTTCTTTTTTTAAACTGGGTAATGTGCTCCTCAGGGGGGTGCAGAGAGCCATGCCTCATGGCATTTTGACACAGTGAGGCTACACGGATGGCCAGGGACTTGCTACACTTCAACTGTTTACTTCAACAGCACGAATCCTCCGAGATTAAAGCACATAATTCAATAGGTTAAAAATTCTGTTGATAAATCTAATGTAACAAATCTGCAAGGAGGTTTTTTTCTTTCACGTGACTTCATTTGTACTGGGTGAACACATTGTAGTCATGGCATTTGAGAGTTGGCATGGGACTGGCTATGGATTAGATCAGTTGAATGCTAACCAAGATTTGAAGTGATTAGTATATGTCTTTATTATCATGCTGGTTTCTAAAATATATTTAAAAAAGGTCATGTTAAAGCATTGCAGTCTAAATTCATTTTAGAATTTCTGTTTCCATTAAAACCTCACTGTTGTGAGCAATATTAATTTTAAATACACCACCATAACACAGGTGGTTGAAAACAAACATCTGTCTAAAAGAAAGTTCAAAATATTCACTCCTTGACCTTTCATCTGTGTGTTTCAGGTTTCTTAATTTTTGTAGAAACCTTTGTGAAATTAGCATAATGACAGAGTTCCTGGGATGACAACAGTTGACAGAATAAATAAATTGCAATCGAATTTCATAGCTGTACTGAAATTGGGTTGTACAGGTTTAAAACACTGCTATATATACTGAAACCTTTTTTAATTGCTCCTTAATTAAATATAGAGTAAGCAAAACCTTAAATGTCTATTTCTACTCCTCAAGCAAAGTGTAATCAGTTGGGCTAATTACTCAATATCATATAATTAATCCCACGAATGGTATCTTCTGTTCAGTAATGGAAGGCAAATGAGTCGAATTATTATGGCAATAAAATGGCAATAAAATTGTTTTCAATGTCTTATAAGAGTACTGAGACCTGTTAAACTACAACAAGCTTCAGACTTTTGACTGAACCCTGAAAATTCTCTCTTATATTGAAAAAGAATGGTGCTTTCAATATATTATTTTTAAGAAAGCTTGAAATATAAAATTAATAGAATACTTGTTCTGCCGTAGGAGACTAATTTCCCGACTTAATAACTAATTAGACACCCAAGTAATTAAAGCTTTGAGTGCCTGAACTAACACTGCAGTGGGATTGCAATATGTCAAGTTGAAACCTAATGAATCTCTTAGAAGGTAATACATTTGTAATGACTGTGTGATCTGTTAAGGCATAGTCAAACTCTCGGTTTTGAAAAAAGGCTTTGAACAAGCTGAAGTGCAAAGGGTGTGTTTATTTCCTTTAGTGTATCATTTCCCCACTGCTGTGACTGTGTTTAACCCTGCTTTCACTATCTCTGTCTCTCTCTTCCTTCAGCCGATGCTGTCAGGCACCCCTCCTAGCTTCTATTTTTGGAACAGCAGGTTTCTTTTAAGGAGAGAGAGAAAGAGAGAGGGGGGGGGCTTAGCATAGGCAAAGGAGAAACTCCCAGAATACTAATAGACAATCAGGGGCTTCTGGGAGGAGAGCTGCAGCCCATTGAAGTGCATCCGGCAGCTGCAGGCTTCCATGGCAACCAGCCTCCTGAGATATGTCAGCTCTAATCAAACTCGGGAATCACTGACTTGCTTAGCTTTTGTGTTTTTCACTTTTCGCACCTCTATCTCACTGTGCTCTCTGACAGAAATAACTACATGTATTTTACCTGCACAGGTGTATTTTCTTTCTAGGCCTATGTTTGCATTCTTCTAAGGTCAATTCACTCCTCAATATGTTAAAAAATATCATGGTACCAGATCACATATCTATAAAAGAGGCATGTAATTATATAGGGTGATGTATCATTTTAAGTCACAAAATTCGGCTGTCGTCACTTAGTTTCTACATAGAATATGAATAATTATTTGAGGAAACTACAATGTTCCCATGCCCATTAAAGAGAACATTATTTTTAAAGTTCTTAACTATACCATTTAACTGGTTCACATAATTTGAGTTGAAACATCACACAGTGTTCTCTCTAGGTAATTTAAAGGTCGTGGAATTTTCCTGTTTTATGTACAGTAGCTGGTAGAAAAATCAGAACATAGCACTGCAGTCCATCTTTCTCTGTCTCTTTATAACCATGGATCCAGAGATGTGTTTTTGATTGCACAACGTTTGTGTGAATTTGATGTCAGCATGTGCAAAAAAACTCACGAGATCCCATAAGGAATGTGCTCAGTTCCATGCATGACCAGATGGTGCATGAAGATAGCTCCACTTTGTCTGGGAATCCACAATAGCTTATGTGATCTTGGAGGCTGAAAAATCAAAACTCATTATTGTATAAATGACACTACATTTTACACTGAGGGTTGAGTCACAAATGCGGCAGCAGCAAACCACTTTCCATCTACTTCACTTTGCTGAATCAGTTAAACCTGAAGATGATCCAAACATGTTCAATTAGTCAGCATATACAGAACAAATGTATATTGTGTTTGTAATATCCTTAATTTAAAAGCCCTCCATTTCATGTTGGATACTTGAGATTGCACGCATAAATTGCACAAACAGTTCAGGTTTATATAGACTGCCATGAAAGGGAAGCCTTTTTCTTATGTTATGAAAACATTTTCAGTAGCTCATTGATTTGTGGGCTGCAATGGGCAGGAAGCACAAAGGGGATATCTGGAAAAGGTTATGAAGTATACTGTATAACTATAGAAGTGTTAAAAATAAATAAGATGGAAGTAATAATAAGGCAAAATAATAATTGCAAAGAGAAGAATCAAGTTTATACAATCCAGAAAGAGAAAATAAAATATGTCATTGTATATAGCCACCCTCTCGTAGAGTTCTTTTTATATTTGCAGGGTTAGCTGTAGCTGACAGAGGTAGCATAATTGTGGTCTTGCAATCATGTTATAGAACACTGCCTTATTTTATTATACCATGCTAAGAACTCAGGTCACACTGACACTAACATCTTCTGGGGATGGGCTGGAGCATTCTCATGTAACCAGGTGAGGTACTGCTGGGATTATTTTGTTTGCAGTCATGTAATATGGCTGTTAATGAGCTGAGGGCATTTTGTTGCAATCGACTGAAGGAGATTATCAGTTTAAAAGCAGAGGAAATGAATATTGGTTATGGGTCATGCAGTAACTGGACCACAGCTGAGAAAGTATCAACTTCTGTCTATCCGCTAAGAACTCTTTTTCTTCTCCCTCTAGGAGCGCCTTCTGCTGTCCATTCTACCAAAGCATATTGCCGATGAGATGCTCAAGGATATGAAGAAAGAAGCTAGCCAGAAAGAGATGCAACAGTTTAACACTATGTACATGTATCGCCATGAAAATGTCAGGTAATCACATCGACAGAAAGTCATGAAAGCACAAATGTTATATTGTGTTTCATACATAAAACCAATGATCTAGGAAGATGTCTTCCAGGAAGACTTCAGGTCTGAAAGTTTGATCTACATAACAAGGTTAATAGAATTATAAAAACATTAGTCTTGTTTAATTGTTTTTTTAGTAAATAGAGATTACTAGTGGGATTTAGTTCAAACTTTTAAAATTTTGAAAGGCATAGATGAATTCAGACCCAAGATTCAAGCTCATATATGAAAGAAGGATACAAAGAATCATTACTAGCATTTAAGAAACATAATTGAAAAAGGTGAGTAATTTAGCTCATTAATTGTGATCCTTCATGAAATGATGGAATAAGATTCTTGGATCAGTGAGCTACTAGGCACCATATGAGACACAAGACACATGGACCAAGCAGTCACATCTCATTTTGTCCTTCCTTTTATAAAATATACAGTACATACACAGTACAGTACATACAGTACATAAGAAATTTCCCTCAGGGGACAATAAAATCTTATCTTACACAAATTTCTTAGTGCAGGTCCCTTAAAATACTCAGCAGTCATAAACAGTTACGTTATTTGTTCTTTATGAAAAGAAAAAACATAAAAAGATTAAATGAAACATACTTCCAATGTTACTTCCAATGAACTTCATTCAGTGAAATAGGTGCTGACAGTTACTGATTCAATTGGAATACTTATTTTTATTTACTAATTGTCAAACAGCATTCTCTATTGTTCAATTGCTGTGATACTTTACTCCATTGTCTGTACCAAGTAGATAGGTAGATAGAACATGCTAAATGTCATTCAAAGGTCCTTATGAACACTGCAGAAGTAGTATCAATACAACATAACAGAACAATAAAAGAACATAAAAATTAAGTGTAACAATACCTTTCATTACTGCCCATCATGCTGTTTCCCCAGACATGCATTCCATGATTATAAACAGCTAGTTTAATGTGATTTTTTTCTAGTGCGTTGGAGGACATGGATGAATAAATTATTTATGAAGCGCCTGGTTCATGTCTCAAGACCAATAGAGAATATTTGTCATTCTAAGTGACAATCCCTCTACTATTTTCAAATTAGAGACAAAAATGGGATTTGTCAATTCTGGTTGCTTGTTGGCCATATTGATAGCAAATCAGTTGTAGTCTTACAGTATGGTATTATGATTCTATTATTGTGGAGATTTACAATTACTCTAATCACATTTAAGTGTCTTCAGTGTCACCAGATTATGTTAGCAGCTGTAGTTGGTGTAAATATGCCCTTAATTTCATGTTACAGTGTTCCTGCCAGCAACATTCCCAGAAGACAGGCCCTCTTTCACTGAGATGTGGTATTACTGCATTGCAATTACACCCAGTTTGCCTATGTGCCTATTATGTATACTGTACAGTATGTGTCACATCACCTTTGAACATGCAAACATGCAAACACACATAACTCAAGAAGTAGCTCTCACAATTCCCAGTCATAATATAACCTCTGATAATGTCATACTCAAACAATTTGCATAACTAATGTTAATGATTAAAAATACATGTTCTGCTTCTAAAGTATTTCACTGTCATATGAAGTATAAAGTTGGTTACACTGTATACCTATACCGAACATCAAAGACACCTATGCTTGTAGGCTGTTAGAAAAATAAAGTAGAAATATTTAGAATATCGATTAAATGTTTTGCCATGATTTTGATTCATTGACCTTGATATGTTCAAGTGACTTTGAGTTACATAAACACTAAATAATCTCATTAGTGAGGGAATTGATTGGGCAAAAGTGATGAGGTGATTTGACCTTCTGAATGTCAGGCCAAGTGCAAAAATAGGAAAAAATAGAATAAAACAGATACAGTATACAGATACAGATACAGATACAGTATGTTAATCAAGAGAACAATGTTTTAACACATGTTTTAGAAACTTACCTAACTAAACTATTTTACTATATTCAATAGCTCAATAGAACATATTGTAGTTTATTCAACATGGATTTAGATACCCTAGCTAGTTAGTAATACAGTCATTATAGTAGTTAAGTTGAGTAGCTTTTCAGCAACATTTAGCGACAACATAGGATGCAGTCTGGCAATATTATTAAGGTGGCACGTGTGGGTCAAACATCAACCTTGAATCAAATATCACTCCCCAGTTCTTGACTTTTGATTGAAACTCAAGTACAGTACCATCCACAGATAGGGTTACAGCATTGATTTGACATAGCTGATGGGGTGTGCCAGGAAGCATGACTTCAGTCTTGACTCCATGGAGCTGTCATGGAAGCCATGAAAAGTCTAGTCTACAGATTTGACTCTCATTGAACATTTGTGGGATGAGTTGGAATAATGTGTGTCATGTGTGGCTCAAAGACCAATACATTATTCACTTAATCTCCCAGGCTTTCTGAGAAGAATGGGAAAAAATCCAGGATCTGTAACCTGGTGCAAAACATGACATCAGATTTACAGATTGTATTGCTTCCATTGGTGGCCACACATGCGGTTTCACAGGACACGCCTTGTTAATCAACCTGTTAATGTTCTTTATGCAAATCAGCATAATGAATTTATCCATGTCATACCAATTCACTAAAATGTCCGTGTAACCTGATGAAAGAAACATTTGTCTATTTCCTGTTATTAATGGTGTAAACTTGTTATAGTTATAAGCAATAGGTTTTTCTCTTTAAAAAAACTACATTGCAAAAATAATTATTACCTTTCCATTTTACTACAACTGATGCTCTTATGGGTCAAAGATGTTAAAATCAAAAGGTACACCTTTTGTACACGCCTTCTAACGGATCACCTTCGCTATGCTCAAAGGCATATTCAACAAAATAGGATATACTGTACTGTAATTGGATTGAATACTTTTGCAAGGTAATAGAGTTAATGTAGGGCAATACCAATATAAAAAATGCACATGACACTGCTGAAGGACAAGATTCACCTACATGCATTTATTAACAGATTTTCTGTTGCAGGCAGTAGATTCTCCTTAATCTTCTTTTCATCCTTCTGCAGTATCCTGTTTGCTGATATTGTGGGCTTCACACAGCTATCCTCATCTTGCAGTGCCCAGGAGTTGGTTAAACTGTTGAATGAATTGTTTGCTCGTTTTGACAAACTAGCTGCTGTAAGTATCTCTGCACAGCCCTCACCCACACTGCATCCTACTCATGTTACTGTTCTTATATTAATACATTGTACAGTTTGCACTCAATTTTCAGGTTCATGGAATCCTAGTAACTTACTGACTAGAAAAAAAAATTCTATCAACTTCAGAACATCTCCATGAGAATATATATTTTTGTTATCTAAAATGTAGTAGTCCTTTGCAAATACGGTATATTGTAGAATAATACATCTAAATATTATATTTATATTGTGAACTGTATATTTAGGATATACTTGAAAGATGCCTTACAAGAAGACTGTTCAAATTGAAAAATGCAATGATCGCGAAAATGTATAAGGTAACTTTTGAGCAGAAACTGTCAAATAAATATTGTAAATACTGAACAATAACCCTTCATTTAATGCATACACAAGAATTGTGAAGCAAACTATTCTGATGGGTGAAGTATTAATACTTTTTACCAAGTAATTTGATTGCTTCTACAAAACATTGTGGTTCATTATTTAATTTTTGCTGCACTGGTTTTGACAGCAAAGCTTAAACAAAGTTAGATGATTTCATAGATTTAATTGCAGAATACCTCAACCATTGTTCTGACCCTAAATTTGAATATCACTGTAACATCGTATTTGTTGTCTCTTGGAACTAAGTTCATTGTGAACATCAGCAGAATGATTTTTTTCCCATACTGTTTTTGCATTTGAGTGTTCTTTATGTTTATTGTGTTTAGGTTTTCCCTCCTAAATTAATTAATTGTGCTCTAAGACCATTGTAGCTTTATCTATTGATATCCTTGGGCTAAATGACAAAATGAGAAGTATATACTGTAGGTTTGAGGTATAAGCATAGGTAACGATTGCAAGGACAAAGAGATTTCAGTAGTAGAGCTCAATTTGGTACCGCCCCAGATTTGTTATAAGATTTCAAATGTTTGCACCTTGGCATCTTTGCACAAATATAGTACAACAAGAAGTGTTATGACATAATAGCATGGATTCCCGGTCCATGTGTTTGGAACCCTATGCTTCTTAATGGAGTTTACTTGCATTGCAGTGGAGTTAACTGCATTGCAAATGCCGTAATGTGAGAGATTACAATTGAATACATATGTGATAAGAATTTTCATATATGAAAAAGCCATTTCTTGCTTAAAAACATCCGTAGCTTGACACCATTACACTAGAGAAATGCCTCTGTAGAAATGCCTAAGTAATATGGTCTTTGGCTTTGGAGAAATTATTCCACTTGCTAGTGATGTCATATCTGCAGACATCTTATTGTTGTACTAATTGTTTTGTCATAGCTGTATTAATTGAGTTACATTTCATTTCCCATTAATACAAAAGCATTTGAAATCTATGTATTATTTCTTCTTTCTATAATTTCTGTAGCTATTTATGCTGTCAAATAACATTTTAGTTTAATTATTAGAATGGAGGTGTTAGAATAAAAGCTGTTGCATAATAACCACTGGGAAAGCTGTTTTTAAATGTATATATTTTGAGTCCATATTCTGCCAAAAAAGTGTTTTATAATTGACAATACACAGACACCACTTTTACTCTGGTAATTTTTATTAGAATCTGAATGTCCTGTAATGCTTAGGTATCTTGTCTATTTTGTACAACTGAAGGTCAATCATAGATGTCTTTCATCATGTTGCTGCCTCTGCCTGTTTAGACTATAAAAAGAAAAAAGTCCCATCTGACACTCACCATCAAAGACATTTAAGTAATAATAATAATAATTGCTTACACTTATATAGCGCTTTTCTGGACACTCCATTCAAAGTGCTTTACAGGTAATGGGGACTCCCCTCCACCACAACCAATGTGCAGCATCCACCTGGTGTACTATAAGTACTATAGCTGTTGAACTACCTTGTTCCTTTAAGGAGTAGTAATCTATAACAAGGAGTTCTAGACTGCAAGTGTCACATATGACACTAATTAAGAAGTGCTATATCTGTAATAACAGCTGTACTATAGCCCTGGAGGACATAAGCTGTCCATTCCTGGTCTAGAATAATATTTGGCAACCAAAAGATACAAGGGCTTCTGGGTTTTGCTCCACTCTACAGTAGCTCTCAGTTTCTTTAATTGAAACAAATATTTTCTAAATTGAGTAAGTGGTATTGTTCCAATTTCAAGGTTGTTTATCGGTGGTCTAGACTCTAGAGCCTTCTTGATGTATTGAATAGACTGTTTTTTTCCATTTACTTCAGAAGTAGGTCACCATGCAGTGGAAGTTGCTGAAGATTGTCAGAGTGGCTGATTCACATGACAGGCTGAGATTTAACTGATTCTACGATGATTCTATGACGCTTATTCTCTTTTTTTTTTCTTTCACAGAAATACCACCAACTGCGAATAAAGATCTTAGGGGATTGCTATTATTGTATCTGTGGCCTGCCGGATTACCGAGAAGACCATGCAGTCTGCTCTATTTTGATGGGGTTAGCCATGGTGGAAGCCATATCGTAAGTAATGGATTTAAACACACTCCCTATCCACAGGGATGCAAAATTGGTTATAACTGGTTCATATATGAAGTTTTCATATTTGCTTTCTTAGGGTTTACTGCACAAGAAACATTTGCATTTCAGAAAATGAGTAAATAAGTTTGTGGTAGATGTTTTATATGTTTTTAATGTATATTCTCTATATTAAGTGCAGAAGTATTATGTTTTAATATTAACAAGTCATTGAGCATCAAAATGTTCTTTATATTTTACCTTGTGTGAGTAATATTATTCCTTGTAATAAGAAAAAACTGAGCACATACAATTTCATAAAGTATGTTATATGCTCAGTGTTTGGTATTTCAGTTCAAATGTCCATAAATAATATCTGCAAAAACAGTCACAAAAAATAATTTATGCACTAATATATGGGATATGCAAAATATATGACCATGCCCCACACAAGTAACAAATGTTATCTGATTACTATCAGTATAATTGAAAGTGACTTGTAAATGACATAATTTACACAGACAATGAGATGTTGGTTTTAGCTTTTCAGCAATCAACAGTCTAATCCCAAAAGCAGAGAAAAGGACTCTGCCTCTGGCCCAAGGTCATCACTTCTGTCTGATCCATCTAACACTGCAGTGGCTTCAGTATGAGAAATGCCAGCATAGGAAATAAGATAATCATTGTGTCTGAAAAATGACTGCAGGTTGCTGTCTGCACAATAATAATCAGAATACTTGGATGCCATTCAGGAGTAACATCGACAGCCAATAAAACACAGTTTTTGTGCTCTATGGGCTGCAGAACATCTCATGTAGCAGCAGGGGGAGTGGGTTGGTGTCTTGTTCTTAGAAGAATGTTGTTTTGCCCTTGACAGACCTGACGAAAGACAATGTGTACTGAGCCACCATGGTTAGTGATATGCTAGCTGTTGCATTGTACATGACAACTTGAAAGAGGAGAGATATTCAAGGAGATTCCTTCCAACAAAAAAGCCTTTGGTGCACGCTGAAGGCAACCTTACTGCTCAGAGTGTCAGTTTTCCAGCAAGATAATATACCACTTCAGGGAAACAATGTTGAGGCCAACTTTTCATCCTGATATGAGTGCAGTAAAACATCAGCTATAATCAGTCAACCTTCACCTGGTTGGTCTGAGCTGCAAAGGAGTTCCAGCTGGTGGAACATTCTACAGCTATCCAGAGACTGATCAGGTCTGCCAGGATTGTGTTATTTAATTACGAAGGTCATATGTAACCCTGTGTTAAGGGCAGCCAGGTATAAAAACGGACAATGATCACTCACAGAGCAACTTCCTGATGGCGTCTACGTCACAGTCACTTTGCTGCATGGCTTTGGTGACATCTAACAGGTCCTTCCCAGTTCTGTAAGAAGGAATTCACACAGGATTCCTTTTTTAAAATGTATTTTCTAAAAAATTAGAAAAAAACATGGGAGGGCTTCCAGAGGTTTTTACAAGCCAGGAGTACTGCAAAATGATCATGGCGATCTAACCATCCACTTGTGTGATGACATTATTCCCGACTCCTGAGCCCCACCTCATCCCTCATGAGGCCCCACCTCATCCCTCATCCTTCTGCAATTTCCCTTACGGGATCAATAAAGAATTTTTCACCTGATTACACATACATAATGCTAAATCTCTGATGTTTTAATATCAACCTTTCGAATTGAATACTTACTGATTCCTTGATCGCATCTGTTTTTGTTCACTTTTTGTAATTTAATTTGATATCTGTGTTATGTTTCTTTTGTGCGTCAGTACACAACAGTAAATGAACAGTCAATTCATACTGTATCTTAGCTTTGATGTTAGATTTTCCATGTAGAAATCAAAGTACTTTGTGCTGGATTTACTTTTGTTCCAGTTGGAAGCATTTTGTGTAGTACATTAGGAATTGTCTATTGCTTTGACTGATTTGACAAGGTCAGTGGGGTGCTGCATCCCCGGAGCCAAGTAATTTAATTTTTTTTCCTGTCCTCCAGAGTTCCTATTGATCTTCCCCCAAAGGGACAACTCTTGGAGGTCACCGGACTTGTATTGTCAGTGCTTGTAAAATGGATTGGCTAGACAAAATGTAATCTCTATTTAAGTGTAGCAAAAGTAGAAGTGTGATTTCTCTCAGAACTTGTTTCCATACATTGACCATCATATCACGGGGAAATAACCTACTCTGAATTTTTCAGTAGCATTTTTGCTTTAACCAAAATGTAATAAATGATGTGAGCAATACTTTTTTACAATACTGTTGTAGTGTGCTCTCTGAAGGCACCAGTTCTGTAGGACTTGGGCATTTACTGGGACAATTATTAATTGTAGCAGTAAATCACAAAATTGATTCTTTTGATGGCCTTAGAATCCAACCATGCGATATAACTCAAACAACGCACACACACAGGTACTAATACA